CAAGCAATCTCCGAACTTCGAGACAGCTATTCGTCGATTTTGGTACACGTGGTACCGAAGAAACAACCCTTGTGGCAGCGTTGGATTGAGAAAGTGAGTCTTTCCCAATTTTCTTATCCTTTTCATATGTTGCTTAATCTGCTCAAGTAAAGTACACACGCTCATATTTTTTGATTCCACAAATTTCAGCCCACGTTGTTTTATTTGTCTAACTTTTGCTCATCACGTGTGTCCAAACAGCGGTCACGTAACTAATTTAAATCTGACCTTGCACTTACAGGATTAATTGCATAATTTTTACGCCTGTTAATTACTTTTATTTGTATTTGCAACCTCTAACGGACAATGGATACTTTAATACGTAAAATGGCCGCCATCAAGAGCAAACTAACCTCATTTAAAAAATTTGTGAGCACGCTAGAAAGCTTGGGTGAGGAGGTAACACCTGTTCAATCTTTGCAATTAAGAAAGCGTTTGGAGTTGGCAACTCAGTACTTAGCCAACTTCGAAGAAATTCATCTACAAATTATAGAAGTTTCTCCGGACATCGAATCGGAAACTAGCAAATTCGATGAATTTCAGAACAATTACTTCGAAGCAATCTCGGAAGCAGAGGCGTTGCTTCGTGTTGTCAAAGATGACTATCATACACCTTTGTCTTCTAATTCAGATTTACATAACAGGCATAACTTTGCTCATTCTGATTCTAGCTCACATAGAAATTGTAGTATAAAGCTTCCCACTATCGATTTGCCAAAATTTAACGGTGATATTGAAAACTGGCTAGAGTTTAGGGAAATTTTCAGCAATTTAATTCATGGGAATCCAGAAATCTCTGACGTCCAGAAATTGCATTATTTGAAGGCTGTTCTTGTTGGTGAAGCCGCTGACATTATTAAATCTTTGGAATTTACGGCAAGCAACTACCAAGTCGCTTGGACTTTACTTTGTGAAAGATTTAATAACCCGCGCATGCTGGTGCATAATCATTTTAAGTTGATACTTGAAATTGAGAGCCTCAATAAAGAATCTCCATCACAGCTGAGAAAAATTAACGACACACTTTTCAAACATGCTGCAGCTCTCAAGTCTCTTGCCACAGAGGCTGAATTATTCGATACATTCCTCATTCACATGATTTCCAAAAAACTTGATGCAACAACTTCTCGTCAATGGGAAACTTTAAAAAATAATACCGGTACGCAGTTACCCAATCTTAGCCAATTCAGAGATTTTCTAAAAAATACTGCAAATCTGTTGGACTCCTTGGCGCCACGCCAAATCAAAGTATCTAGTGAAAGGCCTAAAACTCATTTTAAAACTTTCCACTCAAGTGCTCCGAATTGCATCCTATGTAAACAATCTCATTTTTTGTACAAATGCAATGAATTTCTTAAACTGTCTCCGAGGGAAAGATCTGCCAAGGCTAGAGAATTGAGGGTGTGCCTCAATTGTTTAGCAAAAGGTCATTTTGTGCCACAATGCCAGTCTAAGTTTACTTGCCGCAGCTGCAAGTCAAAACATCACTCTCTTTTGCACATTGATGTAGCTACTTCTTGCGCCTCTCAAGAGCCATCTAGTTCTTCTTCTGTAGCTTTTCATGAGGTTTCAACTCAATCAATTTCTGCTTTTTCCGCTAGCACCACTCAAGTTTTACTACCCACTGCTTCTGCCAAGATCCGTGATTCTTTCGGCAACTTTCATTCGGTAAGACTTCTTCTCGATTCCGGATCGCAATCGAACTTTATACGTTCTGATTTATGCAAAAAACTGAATTTACTTGTTCAACCTGCCAACATATCAATCTCCGGGCTAACTAAGGCCACTACCAACATCAACTCCAAATGTGAGGTAGAATTACATGCACATAGTTCTTCATTCACAAAAAAATTGTCATGTTTAATTCTTAATGAAATCACAGGCAGTCTACCTGCAGTCCGCGTGGACAAGCAAAACCTCAGACTTCCAGACAATATCCGCTTATCAGACCCCATGTTTAATCATCCTTGCGATATTGACATTTTGATAGGCGCCCAATCCTTTTTTGATCTACTCTGTGTTGGGCAAATTCGCTTAGGTCCCAATCTCCCTACCCTGCAAAAAACTCGGTTCGGTTGGGTGGTGTCCGGACCAATTGGATTCGAATCGCACCTCAAAGTGCACTGTCATTTTGCTAAGCAGGTAAATGACGTACCTGATCAACTTTCGCGTTTTTGGGAGCTTGAACATTATCCCACAGAAAAGGTCCTGTCTGA